TGTCATTATTCTCTCGCTTAAGTTTTCTGACTCTATGCAGGAGGTTCTGACGTTTTTTGGTGAGACACTCTTTTATGTATACATGTTTCTTTACTTTAATAGATGTAATAATTAAGTCTTTTTTCATGTCATGTGAGTGGAATCTAAGCATAACACTTTTTCTACCATGGGATCCTAGCAACCTGGCTTCCTTTATTTCTGACTCTGGTACTGTAACTTTTGTTTGGTCCTTAATGATCTGGAGAGTAATTTCTTTACTGTTTGTTTGGTTCATATCACTGGGAAAAAGTGGACTGTTAACTATTACTGCATCCGATAGTTTATCTTGCTCAGTTTTACCTTCTTGGAGAGCAAAGTAGTCACTGAACTGGTTATCCATGTTGTTCTTCCATTCTTTTACTGCTTCTTCAGCCTTTGTATTAAGAGATATTATTTGTTCTGTATGGCTATCTATGACTGTTTGGATGGTCTTGCCACAGTTAGTCATTCCTGGTGTTAATAACTTTTGCTCAAGACTGAGGATTTTGTTCTCGAGTTGTGTCATCCTGGTGTCTTGTTTTCTTAGCGTCTCTCTCGAAGATTCATATTTTCAATAACTAAGGTGGAGATGCATGACTTTAGGGTATCTGGATCGTTGGTCATACCTGAGGGACTACTTGGTAGGTTGAATCTGGAGAAGAGAGAGGTGGTAGAGGTGGAAGCAGCCATGTTTGGTGTTATTGTTGTGGTGTCACCCTGGGTGGTGAGAGGGGTGGTAGATGAGCTGGCGTCGTCCTGGGTACACTTGTTGAATAGTCAATTTTTCGGTGTTTTCTTGCTGGCCTTGGTGCTGTTTCCTCTGAGATTACGCCTCATAATACTACAGGAATTGTTGTAGTTAAGAAGAAGTTGTAGTTATACAAAGCTGAGGGTTACGTTATTTGGCTGGCAGCGGGGTGTTGCTTTGGGTTTGAGGGAAGTCTTCCTTTGATCTCTATGATTTTTGATTTGTAGGTTTCACTGTTGGTAATCTTTGGTCATTCTGGGTGCTATGTTGGGTAGTGCAGTTTTGCTTGCAACTAGGTCATCATAGGAGCATTGGTGGCTCTGGTTGTTGGAGAAAAGTACGGAGCTTGGAGGTCGCTGCTGTTGCTGCCGCTGCTGCCGTTAAGAGCAGGTAGGATAATTTACTTTGAATTTAAAATTGTTTCAATTTCATTATTGTATATTGCTGATGATTGCTACACCATTTACTCACTACTTCAAACTTATAAATGTTTTAATCTCATTGTTTTAAAATGTACTAAATTGTAATACTTCATATTGCAAATTGTTTTAATCTGTCCTAAATTATAATACTGTACTTTTTATAAACTGTATCAAAACCGTAATTATTCTATACTGAACTACTCTACTACACTTATTAAAGCCATACAGTATTACCTAATAGAATACTCAATTCTCTTGTGCTCATTGTAACTCGAGTAATGACCAGATGAACTGTTAGTGCTTTATTAATCTTAAGTTAATTTTAAGTTTGTCCGAAATGCTCTGCATATAAAGGGGCTTTTGGCATGAACACCCAACTATTATATTCCTTTGTACAACCATGTATCACGTCAAAATAAAAATTATTATTGGTAAGATTACTGGTCTCTTTTTAAGGCTCATAAACATGCAAGGCTGCAGGTATGTCTTGTAACTTCTACTTATACCTTCTACTTATATCTCCACTGCCTCCAACCGCCTCCTCAATGCTGCATTCACAACCCAAGCTTCACACCCATATAAGAGTGTTGGTACTACTATACTTTCATACATTCCCTTCTTTGCCTCCATAGATAACGTTTTTTGTCTCCACATATACCTCAAAGCACCACTCCCCTTTTTTCCCTCATCAATTCTATGATTAACCTCATCCTTCATAAATCCATCCGCCAACACGTCAACTCCCAAGTATCTGAAAACATTCACTTCTTCCATACTCCTCCTCCCCAATTTAATATCCAATTTTTCTTTATCTAAATCATTTGATACCCTCATCACCTTACTCTCTTCTACGTTCACTTTCAACTTTCTACCTTTACACACACTCCAAAACTCATCCACTAACCTTTGCAGTTTTTCTTTAGAATCTCCCATAAGCACAGTATCATCAGCAAAAAGCAACTGTGTCAATTCCCATTTTGTATTTAATTCCCCATAATTTAATCCCACCCCTCTCCTGAACACCCTAGCATTTACTTCTTTTACAACCTCATCTATAAATATATTAAACCACCATGGTGACATTACACATCCCTGTCTAAAACCACTTTTACTGGGAAGTAGTCTCCCTCTCTTCTACACACCCTAACCTGAGCCTCACTATCCTCATAAAAACTCTTTACAGCACTTAGTAACTTACCACCTATTCCATATACTTGCAACATCTGCCACATTGCTCCTCTATCCACTCTATCATATGCCTTTTCTAAATCCATAAATGCAATAAAAACTTCCCTACCTTTATCTAAATACTGTTCACATATATGCTTCAACGCAAACACTTGATCTACACATTCCCTACCAACTCTGAAACCTCCTTGCTCATCCGCATTCCTACATTCCGTCTTACCTCTAATTCTTTCAATTATAACCCTAACGTACACTTTTCCTGGTATACTCAGTAAACTACTACTTCTTCTTCAACACACCGGCTGTATCCCACTGAAACGGGGTGGCCCAAACGGAAAATAAAAAAAAAAGTTTCTCCTGTTACATTTAGTAATATATACAGGAGAAGGGGTTACTAACCTCTTGCTCCCGGCATTTTAGTCGCCTCTTACGACACGCATGGCTTACAGAGGAAGAATTCTGTTCCACTTCCCCATGGAGACTCGGTAAACTTATTCCTCTATAATTTTTACAATCTCTTCTGTCCCCCTTCCCTTTATATAAAGGGACTATACATGCTCTCCGCCAATCCCTAGGTTACCTATCCCTCTTTCTTACAATTTATAAAACAAAAAATTACCAAACCTCTCCAACATATATCCCCCTTGCTTTTAAGCTTTCTGTCCATGCTTCTAACAGTTCCAGCTGCTTTACCCCATTTCATTCTATGTAATGCCTCACTCACCTCCCCCACACTCAATCCTGTTCTTCTTCACTCCTAAAAGATGTGGTAATACCCCCTGCCCAGTTGCATGAAATTACGCTTCCCTTTTACTTCATTGGACATTTAAAGTTCCTCAAAATATTCATCGCCATCTACCCAAAACCTCATTCACCATCTACTAACGCCACCAACTCTGTTTTTTTTTTAGCTGATAAATTCCATTCATTCTCTAGGCTTTTGAATTGTTTAACTCACTCCAAAATTCTTGCTTATTTTCACTAAAATACCTTGACAGTGCCTCTCCCACTCTATCATCTGCTCTCCTTTTGAACTCGCAACCACTCTCTTCACCTTTCTTTTTTACTCTCCATATACTCTACTCTTCTTATAACGCTTCTGCTTTGTAAACCTCTCATAAGCTAACTTTTCTCTTTTATCACACCCTTTCTTCATCATTCCCCAATTACTCCTCTGTACTCTGCACCCCCACCCTCCTATAACCACACAATATCTGCACCCACATCTATTACTGCATTTTTAATACTATTCCAACCCTCTTCAACCCCCCATATCATACTTTGCACCAGCCACCAATTCTGCAATTGGTTGCTTTTATCTCACTGAACTTCCTCCTCCCTTAGTTTAACACGTTCACCTTCTCTTTCTTCTTGTGCCAATTCCTCTTTGTCCCATCTACCTCTTACTCTAACTGTAGCTACAACTAATATGATCCAATATATCAGTTGCCCTCTATAAACGGTGTACATCCTGGAGCTACCCATTCACCTTTATCACCAATCCATAATCTAACTACTTTCATTACGTGCTATATCATAACTTGTTTATTTATTTATCCTCTTCTTCATAAAACTGTATTACTTATTACCAAACCTTTCTTTTTCTTACACATAGCTCAATTAAAGGCACTCCTCATTTACATTTTACACCTGGCACCAAATTTACCTACTACTCCCTCTCAACATTTTTGCCACTTGCACTGAAATCCCCAACCATCATTACTCTCACACTTGGTTCAATTCTCCCACGCATTCACTCACATTTCCCAAAATTCTCTCTCTCTACACTTCTCTCTTCTCAGGTTGCAGATATGTTATTATAAACCCACTTTTCACATCCAACCTTTATTTTACTCCACATAATCCTGAATTAATACTTATAGTCCTCTTTTCCTGCCTAACTTATCTTCACATTTATTGGCTACTCCTCTTTTAGCTTTACTCTATTTGAAACCCCTGGCCTAATCCCATTTATTCCTCTCCACTGAAACTCTCACACCCCCTTCAGCTTTGTTTCACTTAAAGCCAGGGCATCCAGCTTCTTCTCATTCATAACATCCACAATCATCTCTTTCTTATCATTTGCACAACACCACGCACATTCAGACTTCCCACTTTAACAATTTTCTTCTTATTCTTTTTAGTAATTAATACACACCCCTCTGGGTTTTCTTTTATTTTATTACTAGTTCTCATTCTTGTTTATTTCCTGTTATCTCCATGGAAAAGTGGAACAGAATTCTTCCTTCGTAAGCCATGCGTGTTGTAAGAAGCGACTAAAATGCTGGGAACAAGGGGCTAGTAACCCCTTCTCCTGTATAAATTACTAAATTGAAAAAGAGAAACATTTGTTTTTCTTTTTGGGCCACCCTGCCTCGGTGGGGTACAGCCAGTTTGTTGGAAAAAACAAAAAAACTGAGAAAAATCATAATTTGGCAGAACTGAAGGTTGGCTTCACTTTGCTGGATCAAAACCTTCATTCGTAGATGTGTAAAACATTTTTAAGTCTTCGTGTTACATTCATATGACAGGATAGTCGCTGTTCATAGCACAATCTTTTCAAAATAACTATTCCCTTAACAACCTGCAACAGAATAAATACGGAAATACACATATGCATTTACCTTGTAATCATCCCCATACTTGTCCAGCATAGCAGTAGCATATTTCACCTGAGCATTTGTCAGACGTACACTAAAACGTTCTTTCTGGTTATCTTGATTAACTGTCTCCTCCAGCTGCCGTACCTGGGTAAGTGGAAATTTCAGTATAAGACTAACACATGTAGATTAAAAGAAAATATAATCATGACAAAATGTACTTACAATTTTCATGGATTCATATATGCTGCCTGCTGCTACTGTAGGCCTCAGCTAAACTGTTTGGGGTCACCTAACACCTCATGCCTGGGGAAGAAAATCTATACACCCAGGTGGGTCCATGTGATGCACCATGGGAAACACTACCTTTGCAGCACACCAAGATTGTTTTACATCCACAGTGAAATGTTCCTGCCAGCAATAGGGTGTAGAATGCCTTTTTATAATTTCAGTCAAAAGGACACACCAGCATGTCATTTCATTCCCAGGAATAACCCAATAAGTCGAAACAATGTGACTTTACCATGTTTTGAGGAACTTCATGCCCATTAAAACAAATGTAATGGCATATGATTTCTTTTTGTTATTTATTGCTAGAAGATAAATAAAATTCAAAACGTACTAAGGATAAAAAAAAAAAAATTTCACCTATTTACAGTAGTACACCAGAAGTTTGCGGGAGGTTACGTTCCAAGACCATACCACAAATTTGGGAGAAAAACCGCAAATCTGTACATGGATTAAAAATGCTATAAATGCCTTTTTTACAGGTTTTTGTAACCATAAATATGCCCCCAAAACACTTTATTTTAACTTAAACTGTCCAAGCAGATTAAGTCACATGCATAGTGCTCCAAAGTAGATCTACTTTTTTTTTTTAATTCAGTGGTCCTCGATAATCGTAGGGACTCGAGAGTAGTAGTAATTTGCGAAAATCGTTTAGCGATCTTTTCGTAAAAACATGGGCTCGCTAATCATAGATTACTCGCGAATAGTCATTTTCGTCCGGGGCAATACTACGCTCTGAGCTGGGGCGGCTCCCTTCCAGCCAGTGTGAACGACGTAATTTTCTAGTGTTAAGACCCAGATGGGTTGAGGGGGAAGATTGGATAGACGAAGATTAGAGATCTTGAGAGGAGTGTCCTTAGTCTTAGAGACAAGAGGCCAGGGCTTGACCCAAGCAGCAGAGTGACATGAAGGAGTTTGCAAGAAGGAGCTGGAGTAGGAGACACGGGCAAGCTTGGCGATGACTGGGGCACTGCAGTGTGATCCCATCAAGGGTGGTGTGACGGGCGTGAGGCGAGAGGCGGGCTTAGAGGCAGCTGCTTGTGATGACGATGACTTCTTATGTGCGAATCTATTAACCAGGTGTGGCATTGTTTACGTTGTGAGCAACGGGCCCTCACTTGCTCATACGAAATATTTCTAATATCCAGTCATTTTAGTGCTTGCATGTACTTAAATAAGCTACCAGGCACCAAAGAAGCTCCTAGTGCCAAGCTTTGGTTAAAGTAGGTGAGAAAATACGATGAATTTTAAGAAAAAACATCATTGAACAATATGAAAGTGGTGTACCATATGGCCGAATGGCCAGGATGTATAACAAACCCCATCAGCCATAGCTTCCATTGTGGCCAAGGAAAAAGGAAATCAAGGACGCTATTGTTGCAAAAAGGGGCTCTCTAAATTGCTGACAAAATGTAGATCACAGTACTCGATGATGTTGAGAAGTTTATTATTGGTTGGATAAAACGAGAATCACTTAGCAGAAGACATTATCTATGACGTCGATATTTGTGAAAAGGCTAGCAGTTGCATGACGATTTGGTAAAGATTTTGCCTGCAACTAGTGGTGATGTGAGTGTATTTAAGGCCAGCAAAGGGTTGGTTTGAGAGATTTAGAACTGTTGGGGGTGTGTTTGGGGCATATCACAGTGTGGTAAGGCATGGTGAGGCTGCCAGTTCGGGACACAAAGTGGCTGAAAAATATGTGCATGAATTCTAGGAGTACATAGAGGCTGAAGGAACCTGAAACTGAACAAGTGTTTTCAACTGTGACAAAAACAGGCTCTTTTGAAAGAAAATGTCAAAGTGGACCTACATTACTCAGGAGGAAAGGCACTGCCAGGACACATAGCCTATGAAAGAAGGCTGACGCGCATGTTCTGTGCTAAGGCTAGTGAGGGTTTTCAGAGTGAAGCCGTTATAGTGTACTTCTGGAAAATCCAGAGTTGTTCAGGAAAAAGCAATCTATGAAGAGTAAATTGTGTGTGTTTGGAAATCTAATAGTAGGCATGGGTCATAGGGATAATTTTCGTCGAGTGGTTCAATTAAATGTTTGGCCCTAGGTGTAGAAGTACCTCCTGGAAAAGAAATTGGATCTCAAGTGCCTTAGTAGTGGACAATGCACCTGCTCTCCTCCAAACTTGGATGACCTAATTTTCGAGGAGTTTGGGTTCATCACGTTAAGTTCTTGCCCCCGAATTCCATCCTTCCTCCAGCCATGGGATTCAGCAGGTCATTGCAAACTTGAAAAACTCTACACCAAAGCAATGGTTCAAAAGTGTTGAATGTGACTCAGACACTTCACTTGACCTAAGTGATTTTTGGAGAGAAACACTTCAGCAACCTCCTTGCATAACCCTTATTAGGGTATGGCTTGGGAGGGAGTGACTTACCAGGAACTTTGAACTCTGCCTGGAGTAAACTTGCTTCTGGCCAGTTTTGTGTCAACAAGAGGGATTTGAAGGGGTTGGGGCTGACCCGGAATGAGCCTATGCTGTTGTTAAATCTATTGTGGCACTGGGAGTTCCATGGGTTGGATGTGAGTTTGGAGGATGTTGGAATGAGGTTGGTGGAAGGAAGACACAACAAAGAGCTCACCACTGAGGAACTGCAAGGCTTCAGCACGAAAATGCAACAGATCGGAAAACTCAGAAATCTTGCTGCAGAGGAGGAGGGCAAGAGAGATGGAAGAAGTTGCATTTTCAGAAATTAGGAGATTTTTGAAATGTGGGGTAAGATGGAAAGATTTATGGAGAAGCATCACCTGACAATGGCTGTTGCAAGCCATGTGGCATACATGTACAGTGACAAAGTCTTGGCCATTTTAGGGAAGTGTTTAAAGAGACCCCAGAAACTGTTTATTTTGCGAGCAGGACACCAGTGACTCTCAAAGGTGGTCCTAGTGGCATTAAGAACAGAGAAGAGAAGTAACCCAGAAATAGCAATTGGTACACTTGAGGTGTTGACGGAAGGGGATTCCCCTTCCAAACTGTAAAGAATCCAATCTCTCTCCTCTACATTTTATATACACTAAGAAGAATCGTCACTATAGGTAAGCGTTATGCTGTTAATGTTTATTCATCATGTTCCTTGTATTGTTTATGTACTACATCTATATTTCATGTAAATAAATATTTTTGTTTTAGTAATTCTGGGGTCTGTTCAGGATCGAATTTATTGATATTTACGTACCATTATTTCTTATGGTGAAAATTGATTGAAATCGGTAGATTTAGATTTCGATAATGTAACACTTCAGGAACGGATTAATAACGAGAAAAAACGAGGGACCACTGTATTTTCAATAATAAAAAAAAAAAAATAGATCAAAGTTTTTTTTTAAATTTTTCCAAATGTAAAAGAAAAAAAATATTCTACTTTTTTTTACTTTCAAATGTTGGAAAAAACGCAGATCTCGTTTTGGACAGTTTAAGGGTTAATTTACTTAACTCGGTTCATACACGACCCTGAAAAAAAAAATGAAAAAGATAAACCCATATACTGTGGAACCTCAAAATTTCTAACGTATTGCTTATCGAACTTCTTCGAAAATAGAACCCTTTTTTCGAACCAAATTTGTCACAATTATTGAACTCGCCCCCTATTTTCGAAACGCTGGGTATCCAGACCTGTCCGGTTTTGTTGTATGCTGAGTGAACACTGACTGCGCTTCATTAAACATTTTACGATATTCATGTTTTGTGCTATGGGGCTGTGAAATTGCTACATTGGGCCCAAAGAAACTTGCTAGTGATACCCCTGTGTTAAAGGAAAGTGAGAAACACCATAGAGTGAGAAGAAATATACAGAAGTGGAATGATGTCCAAATGTTGTGGTTAAGTACACCCTGAGCAAGCTGAAACAAGCCATCTTTGCAACAAGTCAGTGACAGAACCATGTCCCATTTTAGGGAAATCTAAAGAGGCACCAGAAACAGAGGCTGTGGTCAGTTCATTTTGCAAGACAGGGGTCCAGTGACTTCAGCTAGGTCCTAGTGGGCATTAAAGAAAGAGAAGGGGATGTAACCCACACCAATCTTAAATAAAGGTAAGTAAAAATGTTATTTTTTTTATTTTTTTTTCAACAAGTCGGTCGTCTCCCACCGAGCTATAGGGTGACCCAAAAAAAAAAAGAAAGAAAATCCCAAAAAGAAATACTTTCATCATCATTCAACACTTTCTCCACACTCACACATTAGCACTGCTTTTGCCGAGGTGCTCCAGAATAAAACAGTTTAGAGCATATACGTATAAAGATACACAACATATCCCTCAACTGCCCTAATATCCCAAAACTCCTTTAAAGTGCAGGCATTGTACTTCCCATTTCAGGGACTCAAGTCCGACTATATGAAAAATAACCGGTTTCCTGAATTCATTCACTAAAATATACCTGCTCACACTCCAACAGATCGTCAGGTCCCATGTTTCATTCGTTCTCCATTCACTCTATCTAACACGCTCATGCCCACGCTTGCTGGAAGTCATTGTTATATGGTTATAAGTCTATTAGTTTATTTAAATCTATTAATTAACCCTTTCAGGGTCGTCTGTGATTATACCGCTTTACTTTCAGGGTTCCAAACGTAGATCTACGCCAGAGTTCAGCTCACTTTGAATAAACTGTGAGTGGACATTTGGCACTAGATATGAGAGAATTCACATTCTATTGGTATGGTGACCCAATAAAACAGATCTGCAGCACCACTGTGTTATTAATGACGAGAAAAAAAATGAAATCATGATTTTTCGATTAAATAAATCAGACAACTTTGCAGAGTTTTTTCGTATGCTTTTTATAGTTGTATTGTGCGATTTCTTGTCTCATTGATGAATGGAAGACATATTTACAGAAATAGAGATTGATTTGATTGGTTTAGCATGGATATGGCTTGAAACTGAGCTCAAAGGTAAGCAGAAAATGTTAAATTTTTGCCGATATCCAAGAGTAAACAAACGACCTCACACGTCTAATACACGTCGCTGGTGGGTCTAATATTACTTTCACATAATATGTGATGATATTTATACATTTATTACAGTATTGATTAACAGTAAATCTTATGATTTTTGGTGTGAATAAAAATTCATTATGGATAAAAAATCCAAAATGGAATTTATTTGTAAAGCCTCAAAAACATAACTAATGAACAGAGGGAAATGTTAGTTTAGTGCCAGGGAATACCTTCATTGTTTTTATTCTGGACCCTATTTTGAAATTGGAATATTTTGAACTTTGTGTTAAATTGGCCAAATCCAAATTAAACAATTTCCGATCCACTTTATTTTATAGTTGAAACAGTGTACTTGGCGATTTCTTGTGCTCAATCGATAGAATAGAAGTAATACTAGTGAAATAGTAAGAATTTTGGTTGACTGGAATAAATGAATTGGCCTAAAAAATGGGAGGTCAATGTCGGGCAAAATCGCCGAATTCGTAATATCGCTGAACATCAAAATTTCGCAAGTGCATAATTTCGTCATTTTTCCACCAAAATTTGTACTTTTATGTTATTATTACCTTCACAAAAAGATTCTCTACGATTTCATAAGAAAAAATAACAAATTTTTTTTGAAAAATTTTGGACACTGGTGCGGACTCCAGATTTGGGCCTTGGGGACCCCTGAAAGGGTAATACAATAATGAAACACTATCATTGGCCCCCCGGTTTACGATATTAATTTCATTCAGAAGTAATGTTCAGGGTTTTTTGCCCATTTTTAACTGAACAAATTTGTTCCTATAAAAAAAAAAAGTCTGAACAAGTTAATTTGCAGCTTAATAAACCAAATAAGGAACAAACCGTTCAGAATCTGAGACTATCAGGTATGACAAATAAAATTATCCACTTTCATTACCACTTCTGTTGGTTTCTCCTTTTTCTTCACTTGCACTACACCATTCTTTCTTCCTTGTCTCTGTAAGATTTTAATTATATAAGAATCTGTGTATCAAACAATTGGCATGCAATATATATCTTCCTTAGCATAGAGATAAAAGTTACCTTTATATTCATGTAAAAATATTTGTCAAATAACTAAGTTAACATTCAAGTAAATCACTGGAGTTAAAGCAAATATTACACCTTCATAAATAGTAGTGTTGAATGTATTGCTTGGAAAGTAAATTCATTAAAATTGCATTTATGACTAAATCAATAAACTGTAATGGCTGTATAGTACATGAAGTGGTCAACTTTAGCACAACTTGTATACAGTGGCAGGTATTAATGACAAATATGGTAGAAAAGCCACTTGGTGCATAACAAATCTTGATCATCAATAATGTTTTGCTTTCGATAGAGCTTTATCACATCAAACTAGAAAAAAAAACGTAGCTTACAAATGCATCAAAATACAGGATGAGTGGAAGATTCTTAGTCATAAATCTTGACAGCAATCTAAAATTCCTAGGCATACAGCTTGGCAGCAAGCTAAAATTTCTAGCACATTTCTAAGAAAATTTTCAAAACAGTAGGCATACTCTCAAAATCAGGCTAACAATTATATCAACCTTCATTACTCTATATTTTTCTAGTCTATCCTTACCTCACCTATGGCATATATGCAGGGAAAGTACTGTCATCCAAGGCACAGTACTTACCCCACTTCTCTTCCTCATTCTCATTTCTGACATAGAAGGATATAAATCATAGTATCCTTTGCAGATGATGCTAGAATTCATACGACAGGTCCAAGTCACTTGGACCTGCCTTGCATGGGGCAGTAGGCCTGTTGCAGGGTTCCTTCTTTCTTATGTTCTTATGACAGTGGCATCCAAGGAAGACACAGCGAGCCTCAAAACTGATATCAACCAAATTTTCCAGTGGGCTACTGACAACAATCAGGGCAAATTTCATTTACTATGTCATGGAAGAATAAAGAAATTAAAAACGAGATTGGAGCACAAGACAAACTCAAACCCTCCAAACAGAACCTAAGTCACATGTGAGAGACTTGTGTTATGTCAGAAAAAATCTCAAATTCTAGAAGCATAACAATGTTGTGACTGCAACTGAAAGAAAAATAATAGACTGGATAACTAAAACCTTCAAAATAAGACAAACTAAGCCAATGATGATACTCTAAGTTCTCTCTATAGGATGGAACACTGATGTGTCCTAACAGCTTTGCAAAATTGCTGAGTAGGAAAATGTAAAGAGAATCTTCACAGCTCATACAAACTCAATGAAACACCTACATTAATGGGAGTACTTAAGTTCCTAGAACTGTACACCTTAGAATGTAAGCAATAAAGATACATTAAAATGTACACCTAGAAGATACTAGAGACTGGTCCCAAACCTTTTTTTATTTTTTTTATTATCACACCGGCCGATTCCCACCAAGGCAGGGTGGCCCGAAAAAGAAAAACTTTCACCATCATTCACTCCATCACTGTCTTGCCAGAAGGGTGCTTTACACTACAGTTTTTAAACTGCAACATTAACACCCCTCCTTCAGAGTGCAGGCACTGTACTTCCCATCTCCAGGACTCAAGTCCGGCCTGCCGGTTTCCCTGATCCCTTCATAAATGTTACTTTGCTCACACTCCAACAGCACGCAAGTATTAAAAACCATTTGTCTCCATTCACTCTATCAAACACGCTCACGCATGCCCGCTGGAAGTCCAAGCCCCTCGACACAAAACCCCCTTTACCCCCTCCCTCCAACCCTTCCTAGGCCGACCCCTACCCCCCTTCCTTCCACTACAGGACTGATACACTCTTGAAGTCATTCTGTTTCGCTCCATTCTCTCTACATGTCCGAACCCCCTCAACAACCCTTCCTCAGCCCTCTGGACAACAGTTTTTGGTAATCCCCCACCTCCTCCTAACTTCCAAACTACGAATTCTCTGCATTATATTCACACCACACATTGCCCCCAGACATGGGCATCTCCACTGCCTCCAGCCTTTCCTCGCTGCAACATTCATTTACCCACGCTTCACACCCATATAAGAGCGTTGGTAAAACTATACTCTCATACATTCCCCTCTTTGCCTCCCAAAGGGCAAAGTTCTTTGTCTCACAGACTCCTAAGTGCACCACTCACTCTTTTTCCCTCATCCCAAATTTTATGATTCACCTCATCTTTCATAGACCCATCTGCTGACACGTTTCCCCTCCAAATATTGAATACGTTCACCTCCTCCATACTCTCTCCCTCCAATCTGATATTCAATCTTTCATCACCTAATCTTTTTGTTATCCTCATAACCTTACTCTTTCCCGTATTCACCTTTAATTTTCTTCTTTTGCACACCCTACCAAATTCATCCACCAATCTCTGCAACTTCTCTTCAGAATCTCCAAGAGCACAGTGTCATCAGCAAAGAGCAGCTGTGACAACTCCCACTTTGTGTGTGATTCTTTATCTTTTAACTCCACGCCCTTGCCAAGAACCCTCGCATTTACTTCTCTTACAACCCCATCTATAAATATATTAAACAACCACGGTGACATCACACATCCTTGTCTAAGGCCTACTTTTACTGGGAAAAAATTTCCCTCTTTCCTACATACTCTAACTTGAGCCTCACTATCCTCGTAAAAACTCTTCACTGCTTTCAGTAACCTACCTCCTACACCATACACTTGCAACATCTGCCACATTGCCCCCCTATCCACCCTGTCATACGCCTTTTCCAAATCCATAAATGCCACAAAGACCTCTTTAGCCTTATCTAAATACTGTTCACTTATATGTTTCACTGTAAACACCTGGTCCACACACCCCCTTTCCTTTCCTAAGCCTCCTTGTTCATCTGCTATCCTATTCTCCGTCTTACTCTTAATTCTTTCAATTATAACTCTACCATACACTTTACCAGGTACACTCAACAGACTTATCCCCTATAATTTTTGCACTCTCTTTATCCCCTTTGCCTTTATACAAAGGAAACTATGCATGCTCTCTGCCAATCCCTAGGTACCTTACCTTCTTCCATTTCATTTATTAAATAATTGCACCAACCACTCCAAAACTATATCCCCACTGCTTTTAACATTTCTATCTTTATCCATCAATCCGGCTGCCTTACCCCCTTTCATTTTACCTACTGCCCTCACGAACTTCCCCACACTCACAACTGGCTCATTCCTACTCCTACAAGATGTTATTCCTCCTTGCCCTATACACGAAATCACAGCTTCCCTATCTTCATCAACATTTAACAATTCCTCAAAATATTCCTTCCATCTTCCCAATACCTCTAACTCTCCATTTAATAACTCTCCTCTCCTATTTTTAACTGACAAATCCATTTGTTCTCTAGGCTTTCTTAACTTGTTAATCTCACTCCAAAACTTTTTCTTATTTTCAACAAAATTTGTTGATAACATCTCCCCACTCTCTCATTTGCTCTCTTTTTACATTGCTTCACCACTCTCTTAACTTCTCTCTTTTTCTCCATATACTCTTCCCTCCTTGCATCACTTCTACTTTGTAAAAACTTCTCATATGCTAATTTTTTCCCTTACTACTCTCTTTACATCATCATTCCACCAATCGCTCCTCTTCCCTCCTGCACCCACTTTCCTGTAACCACAAACTTCTGCTGAACACTCTAACACTACATTTTTAAACCTACCCCATACCTCTTCGACCCCATTGCCTATGCTCTCATTAGCCCATCTATCCTCCAATAGCTGTTTATATCTTACCCTAACTGCCTCCTCTTTTAGTTTATAAACCTTCACCTCTCTCTTCCTGATGCTTCTATTCTCCTTGTATCCCATCTACCTTTTACTCTCAGTGTAGCTACAACTAGAAAGTGATCTGATATATCTGTGGCCCCTCTATAAACATGTACATCCTGAAGTCTACTCAACAGTCTTTTATCTACCAATACATAATCAACAAACTACTGTCATTTCGCCCTACATCATATCGTGTATACTTATTTATCCTCTTTTTTCTTAAAATATGTATTACCTATAACTAAACCCCTTTCTATACAAAGTTCAATCAAAGGGCTCCCATTATCATTTACACCTGGCACCCCAAACTTACCTACCACACCCTCTCTAAAAGTTTCTCCTACTTTAGCATTCAAGTCCCCTACCACAATTACTCTCTCACTTGGTTCAAAGGCTCCTATACATTCACTTAACACTCCCAAAATCTCTCTCTCCCTCTGCATTCCTCTCTTCTCCAGGTGCATACACACGCTTATTATGACCCACTTCTCGCATCCAACCTTTACTTTAATCCACATAATTTCTTGAATTTACACATTCATATTCTCTTTTCTCCTTCCATAACTGATCATTAACATTACTGCTACCCCTTCCTTTGCTCTAACTCTCTCAGATACTCCAGATTTAATCCCATTTATTTCCCCCCACTGAAACTCTCCTACCCCTTCAGCTTTGTTTCGCTTAGGGCCAGGGACATCCAACTTCTTTTCATTCATAACATCAGCAATCATCTGTTTCTTGTCATCCGCACTACATCCACGCACATTTAAGCAACCCAGTTTTATAAAGTTTTCTTCTTCTCTTTTTTTAGTAATTGTATACAGGAGAAGGGGTTACTAGCCCATTGCTCCCGGCATTTTAGTCGCCTCATACGACACGCATGGCTTACGGAGGAAAGATTCTTTTCCACTTCCCCATGGACAATAGAAGAAATAAAAAAGAACAAGAGCTATTTAGAAAAAGGAGAAAAACCTAGATGTATGTATATATATATATATATATATGCATGTGCGTGTCTGTGAAGTGTGACCAAAGTGTAAGTAGGAGTAGCAAGATATCCCTGTTATCTTAGCATGTTTATGAGACAGAAAAAGAAACCAGCAATCCTACCATCATGCAAAACAGTTACAGGTTTTTGTTTCACAGTCATCTGGCAGGACGGTAGTACTTCCCTGGGTCCCAAACCTGGGCACTGAAATTACTACTACCTGCCCCCACCCTCCTATAACCACAAACTTCTGCCCCACATTCTAATACTGCATTTTTAAAACTATTCCAACCCCCCCTACTACTCATCTTTGCACTAGCCCACCTTTCTGCCAACAGTCGCTTATATCTCCCCCGAACTTCTCTTCCCTTAGTTTATACACTTTCACCTCCCTCTTACTTGTTGTTGCCACCTTCCTCTTTTCCCATCTACCTCTTACTCAAACTGTAGCTACAACTAAATAATGATCCGATATATCAGTTGCCCCTCTATAAACATGTACATCCTGGACCCTACCCATCAACCTTTTATCCACCAATACAAAATCTAACAAACTACTTTCATTACGTGCTACATCATGCCTTGTATATTTTATTTATCCTCTTTTTCATAAAATATGTATTACTTATTACCAAACTCTTTCTACACATAGCCAATTAAAGGCTTCCCATTTACATTTACCCCTGGCACCCCAAATTTCCCTACTACTCCCTCCATAACATTTTTACCCACTTTAGCATTGAAATCCCAACCACCATTACTCTCACACTTGATTCAAATTTCCCCCACGCATTCATCAACTTTTCCCAAAATCTCTCTCTCTCCTCTACACCTCTTTCTTCTCCAGGTGCATACACGCTTACTAAACCCACTTTTCACACCCAAATCTTTATTTTACTCCACATAACCCTTTGGGAATTAATACATTTATAGTCCCTCTTTCCTGCCATAGCTTTTTCCTTCAACATTATTGCTACTCCTTCTTTAGCTCTAACTCTATTTGAAACCCCGGGACCTAATCCCATTTATTCCTCTCTATTGAAACTCTCCCACCCCCTTCAGCTTCGTTTCACTTAAAGCCAGAACATCCAGCTTCTTCTCATTCATAACATCCACAATCATCTCTTTCTTATCATTTGCAAAACATCCATGCACATTCAGATTCCCACTTTGACAATTTTTTTCTTCTTTTTAGTAATCTTTACAGGAAAAGGGGGGTTTCTAGCCATTGTTCCCGGCATTTTAGTTGACTTTTAAACACGCATGGCTTTCGGAGGAAAGATTCTTATTCCACTTCCCCCTGGATTAAAAGGAAAAGTAATAAGACCAAGAACTATTAAGATTAAAATCAAAGAAAACTCAGATGAGTGTGCACAAATAAAACGTGTACATTTTATGGGGTAGTGTGACCTAAATGTAAGTAGAAGTAGCAAGAATACTGTAATCTTGCATATTTATGAGACCCGACACCAGCAATCCTACCATCATGTAAAACAATTACAGGCTTTTGTTTTACGTTCACTTTGGGAGGACGGGAGTACCTCCATGGGTGGTTGCTGTTTTACCAACCTACTGCCCTTATTAAACCAAAAATACCAAAACCCCTCCAACACTATATCCCCCCCTTTCTTTTAAACTTTTTTGTCATGATCCGTCAGTTCCCCGCTGCTGTACCCCCTTTATTCTATGTAATGCCTCACACACCTCCCCCACACTCACATCCTGTTCTTCTTCACTCCTAAAAGATGGCATACCTCCTTGACCAGTGCATGAAATTACTGCCTCCCTTTCTTCTTTGGCATTTACAAGTTCCTCAAAATATTCTCGCCATCTACCCAATACCTTCATCTCCCCATCTACTAACTCCCCTACTCTGTTTTTAACTGACAAATCCATTTGTTCCCTAGGCTTTCTTAACTTGCTTAACTCACTCCAAAATTTTTTCTTTTTTTTTTTTCATTAAAATTTCTCGACAGTGCTTCTCCCACTCTATCATCTGCTCTCCTTTTGCACTCTCTCACCACTCTCTTCACCTTTCTTTTGCTCTCCATATACTCTACTCTTCTTATAACACTTCTGCTTTGTAAAAACCTCTCATAAGCTAACTTTTTCTCTCTTATCGCACCCTTTACTTTATCATTCCACCAATCACTCCTCTTTCCTCCTGCACCCACCATCCTATAACCACAAACTTCTGCCCCACATTCTAATACTGCATTTTTAAAACTATTCCAACCCTCTTCAGCCCCCCCACTACTCATCCTTGCTCTAGTCCACCTTTCTGCCAATATTTGCTTATATCTCACCCGAACTTCCTCCTCCCTTAGTTTATACACTTTCACCTCCCTCTTACTTCTTGTTGCCATTTTCCTCTTTTCCCATCTACCTCTTACTCTAACTGTAGCTACAACTAAATAATGATCCAATATATCAGTTGCCCCTCTATAAACGTGTACATCCTGGAGCCTACCCATCAACCTTTTATCCACCAATACATAATCTAACCAACTACGTACTTTCATTATGTGCTATATCATACCTTGTATATTTATCCTCTTCTTCATAAAATATGTATTACTTATTACCAAACCTCTTTCTACACATCTCTCAATTAAAGGCTCCCCATTTTCATTTACCCCTGGCACCCAAAATTTACCTACTACTCCCTCCACAACATTTTTGCCCACTTTAGCATTGAAATCCCCAACCACCATTACTCTCACACTTGGTTCAACACTCCCACGCATTCACTCAACATTTCCCAAAATCTCTCTCTCTCTCCTCTACACTTCTCTCTTCTCCAGGTGCATATATGCTTACTATAACCCACTTTTCACATCCAACCTTTATTTTACTCCACATAATCCTTGAATTAATACATTTATAGTCCCTCTTTTCCTGCCATAACTTATCCTTCAACATTATTGCTACTCCTTCTTTAGCACTAACTCTATTTGAAACACCTGACCTAATCCCATTTATTCCTCTCCACTGAAACTCTCCTACCCCCTTCAGCTTTGTTTCACTTAAAGCCAGGACATCCAGCTTCTTCTCATTCATAAGATTCACAATCATCTCTTTCTTATCATTTGCACAACATCCACGCACATTCAGACTTCCCACTTTGACAATTTTTTTCTTCTTATTCTTTTTAGTAATTACAGGAAAAGGGGTTACTAGCCCATTGTTCCTAGCATTTTAATTGACTTTTACAACATGCATGGCTTACGGAGGATTCTAATTCCACTTCCCCATGGATATAAAAGGAAAAGTAATAAGACCAAGAACTATTAAGATAAAATCAAAGAAAACTCAGATGAATGTGTATAAATAAACATGTACATGTATGTGTAGTGTGACCTAAGTGTAAGTAGAAGTAGCAAGACATACCTGAAATCTTGCATGTTTCTTCTTCTTTCTTTCAACACACCAGCCGTATCCCACCGAGGCAGGGTTTACCTGGAGAGACCTGGAGAGAGTTCCGGGGGTCAACGCCCCCGCGGCCCAGTCTGTGACCAGGGTGGCCCAAAAGGAAAAACTAAAGTTTCTCCTTTTACATTTAGTAATATATACAGGAGAAGAGGTTACTAGCCCCTTGCTCCCGGCATTTTAGTTACCTCCTACAACACGCATGGCTTATGGAGGAAGAATTCTGTTCCACTTCCCCATGGAGGTAAGAGAAAATAAACAACAAGAACAAGAACTAGTAAGAAAATATTAGAAAACCCAGAGGGGTGTGTATATATATGCTTGTACATGTATGTGTAGTGTGACCTAAGTGTAAGTAGAAGTAGCAAGACATACCTGAAATCTTGCATGTTTATGAGGCAGAAAAAAGCACCAGCAATCCTACCATCATGTAAAACAATTACAGGTTTCCGGTTTACACTGACTTGGCAGGACGGTAGTACCTCCCTGGGCGGTACATAAGAACCTTAATAATGAGAGAGACTGTAACTCACCTGACTGGTTATTGGCAGAGCTCTGTCCAGGTGATAGACAAGTCCCATGTTGGTTATGTTTGTAGGTGCTGGTTTAGATGCATCCCACGCTTTCTTAACTGGCAAACTGAAATACAATTTTTTTTTAAAAACATCAATAATTCAAATTTAAAGGTTGTACATGCAAGAAATTAAACATCCTTAGAGTAATGTATGCTCTCAAGTGAAGACAAAAATTCTATGAACAAAGTTTTTGGCTAAAATAAATAGGGGGTTCATGCATTCATGGGTAATATTGCTGAAGGACTGAAATCTGTATATTGTGATCCATATGAGTATGAATGTTATATGTACAGTAGGGCCCCACTCATACGGCAGGTTAGGCTCCAGGCTACCGCTGGAAAGTGGACATCGTCGGAAAGCACAACACCATTTTTTCCACTTATAAATACATCTAAATGCCAGATAAGTTTACACAAACATATATTAACCCTTTGACTGTTTACGTCGTATATATTCATCTTACGCGCCACTGTTTCTGATGTATTAATACGCACGTGTAAATTCTAGTGGCTTCAAATCAAGCGGGAGAAAGCTAGTAGGCCCACATGTGAGAGAATGGGTTTGTGCATGCAGCACGCAGTGCATAATGAGAAAAAAACTGACCGTTTTTTTGGATTAAAACGCTGACTGACGTGCATTTTCGTGTAGTATTTATCGTTGTATTCTCGTTTTCATGGTCTCAGGTGATAAAATTGAAAACATATTACAGAAATAGAGATGATTTTGATTACTTTCACAATGAAAACAATCTTGAAATTGAGCTCAAAGTAGCAGAAATGTTCGTTTTTTTACCAATGTTCAGGAGTAAGCAAATCACACCACATGTCCAATACATGTCAACTGGGGAGTCTAATATTCTTTCACTAGTGCACTGATATTATTTATATCATTTTTACAATAATGTAGTAGTCTGCATAACAGTAAATCTTGTATTTTTTTGTATGAATAAAAATCAAAATAGAAAGCAATAGTTAATATAAGAGGGACCTAGAGACATGACTAATGAACAGAGGTTATGTTATTTTAGTGCCAAGAATGTCTACATTGTTTATTCTGGACCCTATTTTGAAATCGGCATCTTTTTTAATTTGCGTGAAATTGGCCAAATTGCCAATTTTTGACCACTTTATTGGGTAGTTCAAATCGGTAAATGGGTGGTTTCTTGTACTCAACTGATAGATAAAATGGAGTTCTAAAGAAATAGCTATGAGTTTGGTCAACTGGAACAACGGAACTGACTAAAAACAGGGCTCAAAGTCGGCAAAATCACCGATACGTATATGTCGCCGAGACCGCTAACTTCGCGGGAGTGTAATTCCGTGAGTTTTTGACCAAACTTCATACTTTTGGTGTCATTACCATAGGAAAAAGATTCTCTATCATTTCATAAGAAAAAATAATTTTTTTTTTCCAAAAATTTATCGACATAGAATGACAGTTTCAGAAAGGGGCTTGCGACAGTCAAAGGGTTAAGTTAGCAATACACACACAGTACATTCATTACTTACTTTAAAATATTTGTAGTCTTAATGTAGGGTGAGAGGCAAGTAGTATTTATTTGTAGGAAGTCAGGTATAGGAGGTATGGTAGACAGCCAGGACACCCCACCCACACATAATATATTATGACATTTAACTCCTTAACTGAACAAACATAGATCTACATTGTTACCACCAGCGCTCCAAACGTAGATCAACGTTTTATTTTTCCTGCCTCCAAATTTGGTACGATTGGCCTGAGATGCCTGATCAGTATAGAATGGGTCTTAATACTCGGTGTCAGCAGTATTAAAAAAATCTGGGACCACTACCTTGTGGGAGCATGTTCGGCAGGCTAGCTGGATGGGTGGCCAGTTGGCTGGCCAGTTGCTGGCCAGTTGGCTGGCTGACTGACTGGCTGGCTGATTGACTTTGATTGTCTGTCTGTCTGTCTCCGTCTCTGTCTGTCCCCATCTCAGTCTCTGTCCCATCTCGGTCTTTTGTCCATCCCTGTCTCTATCCATCCCTGTCTCTATCCATCCCTACCTCTGTCTATCCCTGTCTCACAGGTACACAAATACAATTATTCAGTGTAAGTTACCTAGGGTAACCCCCCAAAAATCCAGACAAAGTGTTATACAGTGCTTGTATATATAAGGCATAATAAGCATGACTGGCAAGTATACACATTTTCACATGTTCAGGAGGACCTAGTAGCAATCAGTGAAGAGGCAATGCTAGGAGCTTGTCTCAAACCCCTGCAAACCACAAGTGAGTACAAACAGGTGAGTAGAGAGAGATAAGAAGACAGATAAACAGAGACAGAGCTAGACAGACGTGACAGATACACAGACAGACAGACCCGCGACAGATATGTTTGAGTGTAACAATGAAAACAAAGCCAAGGTAGTGCACAATCATCAGATGTCACTCCACTGCTGCACTGTCAGCATAGGAGTGACACTCTCTTACACCACACTTCAAGGAGTTTCATATATACTCCAGCATGTCTAAAACATTGCTGGGACCTATAAATACTTTCTATATATTTCTAGACAATAGTATGTGACCAAGGCAGATGAAATGTTCACCCATCATTGTGGTTTGTGACTATGTACTACTTCAGTACCTAATATTAGTGTCAGAACAAACATTGGTTATGTAATCATAGGAGCTACTGCAAATTGTAATCATCAGGAAAAAAAAAAAAAGGTATATTGGCAACACTTCTGCAAGCGGCAGGACTCCATGTTGCTGTCAGGTTAGCATCCAGCACCAACTTCGTGGCCTTGTATCTCAGTAAATACTGACCCTAAAAAAAATTTTTTTTTTTGGTCTTATTACACACGGAAAATTACCCTCTTTAATTACAAAAAAAAAAAATTTTTTTTTGCAAAATATTCGGAGCGCTGGGCGAGAGAACGTAGATCTACATTAGGATAGTTAATCCCTTGACTGTCGACACCCCCAATCCTGAAGTGTCTCCTGGTGTCGCAAAAAAAAAAAAAAAATCTTATGAAATGATAGAGAATCTTTTCCCGATAGTAATGACACCAAAAACACGAAATTTGATGGAAAACTGATGGAATTATGCTCTCGCGAAGTTAGCAACCTTGGTGATACAGTGGACCCCCGCATAGCGATATTAATCCGTGCAAGAGAGCTCATTGTTATGCGAAATTATCGTTATGCGAATGAATTTTCCCCATAAGAAATAATGGAAATCAAATTAATCCGTGCAAGACACCCAAAAGTATGAAAAAAAAATTTTACCACATGAAATATACATTTTCCTACACACAAAGAGAAGGATACATGCACAATAGTATAGTAGTACATGCACAATATATATTGTGCATGTACTACTCTACTAAATGAAGAATAAATGACACTTACCTTTATTGAAGATGCAGCAATGACTGATGAGACACTGTGTCCTGGGAGTGCCTTTTCCCCCTGAGTACTGTAGGTCCTGTTTGGCATTTTCTTCCAGAACAGGCCTTATCACACTGTGTATGCCACTACGATTCTTAAATCTCTCAAACCAACCTTTGCTGGCTTAAAATTCACCAATATGAGCACTAGTTCCAGGCATTTTTCCCTGTTCACCTGGGTGTTAGTCGACTGGTGTGGGTTGCATCCTGGGAGACAAGATTAAGGACCCCCAATGGAAATAAGTTAGACAGTCTTCGATGACACTGACTTTTTTGGGTTATCCTGGGTGGCAAATCCTCTGGGGTTAATTGTTTTCTTGGTATTCTCAATAAGCCACACCAACAACGGTGCTACAGCAGCAGCAGCAGCAGCAGCAGCAGCAGCTGACAGTGCTACAGCAGCAGCAGACGATGCTACAGCAGCAGCAGACGGTACTACAGCAGCAGCAGACGGTACTACAGCAGCAGCAGACGGTACTACAGCAGCAGCAGCAGCAGCTGACGGTGGTACAACAGCAGCAGCAGCTGACAGTGCTACAGCAGCAGCAGACGATGCTACAGCAGCAGCAGACGGTACTACAGCAGCAGCAGACGGTACTACAGCAGCAGCAGCAACTGACGGTGGTACAACAGCAGCAGCAGCTGACAGTGCTACAGCAGCAGCAGACGATGCTACAGCAGCAGCAGACGATGCTACAGCAGCAGCAGACAGTACTACAGCAGCACCTGACGGTGGTACAACAGCAGCAGCAGCTGACAGTGCTACAGCAGCAGCTGATGGTGGTACAGCAGCAGCAGCAGCAGCTGATGGTGCTACAGCAGCAGCAGCAGCAGCTGACAGTGCTGCAGCAGCAGCAGCAGCAGCAGCAGCTGACAGTGCAGCAGCAGCTGTACCACCAATAGTAGCGATGGTTGATTGGGGTTTATTATACAACCTGGCCAGCTCGGAGACACGCACTCCACTTTCATACTTATCAATGATCTTTTTCTTCATCTCTATAGTAATTCTCACCCTTATTGCTGTAGGGTTGGCACTAGAAGCTTTCTTGGGGCCCATGGTCACTTATTTTGCAGATAAAATCACCGAAAACACTGTAATAATGCGAAATGTTCCGATTGTATGCTTGGATGTTACCGCGGAGGCTGGCTGGTAAACAATGCCACCGGCGGAACATGTGAGCGTGGCTCAGGCTGCACATAGACGCGTCTCAGACGAACAGCGTTGAGCGGGCTTTTTAGAGGTATGCGAGGCAAAATCTTGGCGATAAAATGTAGCGGTATGCGGATTTAACGTTATGTAAGGCCAACGGTATGCGGGGGTCCACTGTATTTACAAATCGGCGATTTCGCCCACTTTGAGCCCTATTTTCGGCTAATTCCATTGTTTCAGTCGACCAAACTCATAGCTATTTCTTTAGAGCTCCATTTTTTTTCTATCGACTGAGTACAAGAAACTGCCCATTTACCGATTTCAACTATCCAATAACGTGGTCAGAAATTTGCAATTTGGCCAATTTCACGAAAATTAAAAAATATGACAATTTCAAAATAAGGTCCAGAATGAACAATGCAGACATTCCTGGCTCTAAAATAACATTTTCTTTGTTCATCAGTCACATCTCCAAGCCCCTCTGATATTACTCTTGATTTCTGTTTTGAATTTTTTTCAAACAAAAAATAGAAGATTTACTGTTATGCAGACTACTGCAATACTATAATAATTGTATAAATAACATCAACCCATTCATGACTGCATATTAGAATGGCTAGTTGGATATTTATTGGACAACGACATCATTTGTTTACTTTTGAACATCGGCAAAAATCAAACATTTCCCCTAGTTTGTGCTCCATTTCCAGGTTCTTTTTATAGTAAAATGAATCAAAATCACCTCTATTTCTATAATATGTTTTCCATTCTATCAAATGAGACCAAGAAAACAAGGATATAACCATAAATACTATATGAAAATAGACCACAAAGTCGGCATTTTAATTAAAAAAAAAAAAAAAAAAACGGTCAGTTTTTTTTTCTCATTATGCACTGCATGCTCCAGGATTTTTTTTTTATATGGTGCACACTGACCACACAGACCCATTCTCTCACATGTGGGCCTTCCAGCTTTCTCCTGCTTGATCTGAAGCCGCTAGAATTTATGAGTACATACACGTCAAACACGGCACCTCGTAAGACGTATATATACGACCTCAACAGTCAAAGAGTTAAGGGCTTAAGCATTAGTATTAGTTTTCCGAAAATGCATTGCATACTATAAGCTTTCTTTTGTCTAACAATGTTTTATTACATGTAAACTACATTATTTCTGTGCAGCACAAAAAGAAATAAAAATCTGAAATTGAATAAATAGAGAAATAATAAGAATAACAAATACAGCATCTAGTCATGTAGCAGTGCTCAATAACAATGTATTTCCTAGATGTGATGTATGACCAGTTACAAAACATAAAAACCTCACCAGTCAATGCATGGGTTGATCTTTTTTTTCATTTTCATTTGCTTTCTGTTCGAATTTGCTCGATACCGAAACTTGGAACGGTTCTTCTTTCTTGATCTAACCCCCATTGTTCAAGCTTTTCTGAAAAGAAATGATTGTGTGAAAATGCTGCAAACTGGAAACTTATTACCCATAACAAATCAAGTTGGACTTAAACTAAATTATATCTATGTCTTAAAAATGGAAGCCAACAAAATAAAAATAAATCATGCTGGCAATTAACTGAAAAAATGTTGTATACAGTTTCAAGGAATGAATAAAACTCGTACCTGTATACACATATTTGTATATGCATGTACAGTGGACCCTCGCTTATTGGCCGTTCTGGATATCAGCCATTCCAGATTTCAGCCTCTTTTTCGGCTGAAATTCTATCCCAGATTTCGGCCATCAACTTGGAAATCGGCCGTATTGGACGCATCGATGCACAACTCTGCCGCATTCATGAGTCAGTCTAACAGTCTCTGGGCAAGTGAGCAAGACTCCATGCATTTGTCCAAACATTTTGTCATAATTCATTGTTTTTTGTGGTTGTTTATTGAGTGCAACTGCAAAATAAGTCACCATGGGCCCAAAGAAAGTTCCTAGTGCCAGCCCTTTGGTAAAGAAAGTGGGAAACATGATAGAATTCAAGGCAGGCAGGCATAGAGGCAAGGAGTGTAGCAGGCATGCTGGGAGTGTAGCAGGCATGCTGGGAGTGTAGCAGGCAGGGAGGGAGTGTAGCAGGAAGGCAGGAAGTGTAGCAGGCAGGGAGGGAGTGTAGCAGGCATGCAGGGAGTGTAGCAGGAAGGCAGGAAGGGCAGGGGGGGGGGGGGGGGGAAGTGTAGCAGGCAGGGAGGGAGTATAGCAAGCAGGGAGGGAGTGTAGCAAGCAGGGAGGCAGGGAATGGACAGCTTTTTTGTGCAACAGGGATGCAGTGACTCTCAAGCTGGTTCTAGTGGCAGAAAAGACAAAGAAGGAAAGTGACCCCTCCTTGCCTTCTTCCATATGCCAATAAGAGTCTTCAATAAAGATATGTAATGTTCATTTATTAGTAAAATTAGTGCTTTATATTTTCTCTCTGTTTTGTATATGTAAAATTATAGTTAATCTTCAAAAAATGTATTTTTTGTTAATATTTTTGGGTGTCTGGAATGGATTAACTGTCTTTACATTAATTCTTATTGGAAATATTATTACAGTTTTTGACCTTTTCAGATTTAGACCGAACTTCTGGAACAGATTACGGCTGATAACAAAGGGTCCACTGTATACCCCCCCCACACACCACACCTAGTAACTAAAACAAGCATGCATCTACACGCATGGTGAGGCGGGGGAGGGGGGTGGGGGTTTAAATCAAGCTGTGACCCAACCATTTGTAAGTAACCAGACACACACATGCATGTGGGCACACAAAAGTAATTATATAAGTACAATACAGTGGACCCTCGCCTAACGATATTAATCCGTTCCTGAGAGCTCATCGTTAGCCGAATTAATTTTCCCCATAAGAAATAATGGAAATCAAATTAATCCGTTCCTGACACCCCAAAGTATGAAAAAAAAAAAAATTTTACCACATGAAATATACATTTTTATACTCCCAATGAGAAGAAGACATGCACAATTACTACTCTACTAAATAAAGAATGCATGACACTTACCTTTATTGAAGATCTGGTAATGATTGATGGGATGGGAGGAGGGGAGATGGTGGAAGTTGTTATTGTTTGGAAGGGGAATCCCCTTCCATGAAGACTTGAGGTAGCAAGTCCTTTTCCGGGGTTACTTCCCTTCTACTTTTAACCCCTTCAGGGTCCAAGGCCAAAATCTGAAGTGGTGCCCCAGTGTCCAAGAATTTTCCAAAAAAAAAATTTATTTTTTCTTCTTATGAAATGGTAGAGAATCTTTTTGTGAAGGTAATAAAACAAAAAGTACTAAATTTGATGGAAAATTGGCGAAATTATGCTCTCGCGAATTTTGATGTGTCAGCGATATTTACGAATCGGCGATTTTGCCGACTTTGACTCCCATTTTAGGCCAATTACATCATTCAGTCGACCAAATTCTTAGCTATTTCACTAGTATTACTTCTATTCTATCGATTGAGCACAGAAATCGCCAAGTCAACTGTTTCAACTACAAAAAAAAAGTGATCGGAAATTGGTAATTTGCCAATTTAACACAAAATTCAAAATATTCCAATTTCAAAATAGCATCCAGAATAAACAATGTAGGTATTCCTGGCATTAAACTAACATTTTCTCTGTTCTTAGTTACGTTTTGAGGCTTTACAAATAAATCCCATTTTGATTTTTTTTTCACAATGAATTTTTTTTTCACACCAAAAAATAGAAGATTTACTGTTATGCAATATTGTAATAATTGTATAAATATCACCACCACATTTGTGAATGTATAATTTGACCCACCACTGGTGTGTATTTGATGTGTGAGGTCGTTTGGGTTTTCTCTTAACATCGGCAAAAATTTAACATTTACGCTACTTTGAGCTCAGTTTCAAGCCATTTCCAGTGCTAAAACCAATCAAAATCATCTCTATTTCTGTAATATGTCTTCCATTCTAGCAAATGAGACCAAGAAATTGCAAATACAACTACAAAAAACATACGAAAAAACACTGCAAAGTTGCTGTTTTAATCGAAAATCTTGGTTTCAGTTTTTTTCTCTCATTATACACAGTGTGCTGCAGGATTTGTTTTATGTGGTGCACACATACCACATAGATGTATTCTCTCATATCTAGGCCCAAGTGTACCACTCACAGTTTATCAGAGTGAGCTGAGCTCATGACGTAGATCTACGGTTTGGACCCTGAATGTAAAGCCGTAGATCTATGGGACGGACCCTGAAAGGGTTAATGCCACTAGGACCAGCTTGAGAGTCACTGGACCTCTGTTGCACAACAAATCTGTCCATAGAGCTCTGTACCTCGGATTCCTTTAAGATTTTCCTAAAATGAGACACAACATTGTCATTGTAATAGTCACCAGCACGGCTTGCAATAGCTGTGTTAGGGTGATTTTCACCTATAAAGGTTTGCACTTCAACCCACTTTGCACACGTTTCCTTAATCTTTGATGTAGGCACAATGGATCCCACAACTGGCATAGGCTTCTCAGGGTTAGCCCCAATCCCTTCAAAATCTTTCTCAATTTCCATACTAATTCTCACCCTTTTTACCACAGGGTTGACACTAGAAGCTTTGTAATAAAGTTGGTAGAATTACCGACAATATGTAAAGTAAAAGGACACAAGTGCAACTAATGTGACATTTATTGTGGCAACGTTTCGCTCTCCAGGAGCTTTATCAAGCCATTACAAACAATACATGGACACAGAGGGTATATAAAGGCTCAGAGTGAGGTGAATACTAGTGAGGTACCATTTCGATGTTCACTAGTGGTAGTAGTGGTAGTGACAAAAGTAATACAATATGGTAGAGCAATTAATTCGTACATGAGTAAAAGGATATAAAAGCTATTACTTGGGTAACATAAAAAAAAGGTTGGACAAAAATAAACTGGAATGAGGCAGCTTGTTTTCAGTGTTCACTCTCTGTGCTTTGTGTAGTATAACAGGAGAGACTATGTGATGGCAGGGTTTACTGTTTTCAGGAGGATTCTTGCTAAGACTTCGGAGATGGTGAAGCTGCCGTTGTTTTGTTTAATTGTATTCGAAACAGCACTCAGTGCTGATTCGAGGCACTTGCGTCTGCGGAAATTAGTTTCTTTGATCACTAATTGGGCGTCTCTGAATTTCATGAGATGATTGGTGGAATTTCGGTGTTGTACACAGGCGTTGTTCAGGTTATCGTTCCTACATGCGTAAATGTGTTCATTGAGGCGGGTGTCGAGGTTTCTGGCTGTTTCACCTACGTAAATCTTGTCACAGCCTCCACAGGGTATAGTGTATAAATGTCACATTAGTTGCACTTGTGTCCTTTTACTTTACTAGAAGCTTTCTTGGGGCCCATGGTGACTTATTTTGGAGTTACAAGCACTAAAAACACTGGGATAAGGTGAAATGTACTGAATGTATGCATAGATGCTACCCCACTGGCTGGCTTGTAAACACTGGCCACACGTGAACAGGTCATGGACGAATCACGTTGAGCAAGTTTTTTATCGTTAGGCAGGGCAAAATTTTGACGCTCAAACGCTTCATTAGGTGGATTTAACGTTATGCGATGCGTTCGTTAGGCGAGGGTCCACTGTATTGTGTATATGACTAAACTGCATTTCAAGTGACTCAAGCTGGTCCCAGTGCCATTAAAAGACAAAGAAGGGAAGTAACCCCGGAAAAGGACTTGGTACCTGAAGTCTTCATGGAAGGGGATTCCCCTTCCAAACAATAGTGTACCTTCATCCTCTCCCCTCCTCACATCTTCCATCTACCCAGATGTCTTCAATAAAGGTAAGTGTAATGTTATTATTTTATATACAGGTTTCCCTCAACATTCGCGAGGGTTAGGGGATCAAGAGCCTCGTGAATGTTGAAAAATCGCGAATGTTTGGTGCCCCAATACATTGTAGGGAAATATAATACAATACTTCTTCCTTAACTTGTTGAACCACGATCAATCATAAAATACATGAAAATGTCGTAAATTGTACTAAATACATGTTATGGTTTAATAACAGGTATGTTATTAAATACCACTGCCTCCACTTTCTCGACCACTGCGAGTTCCTACAACCCTCCCTCCGACCCTCCCAACTGGCAGCCAGCCCTCCCATCATTGTGGTGAGTGTTTTGTTTGTTCATTATTAACTATTAAACTACAGTATAAATAATGTAAACCCATTCATGACTGCATATTGGAATGGCTATTCGGACAGGCAGTGGGTGAGGCAGTGGGTGAGGCAGTGGGTGAGGCAGTGGGTGAGGCAGTGGTTGAGGCAATGGTAGAGGCAGTGCGTGAGGCAGTGCGTGAGGCAGTGCGTGAGGCAGTGGGTGAGGCAGTGGGTGAGGCAGTGGGTGAGGCAGTGGGTGAGGCAGTGGGTGAGGCAGTGGGTGAGGCAGTGGGTGAGGCAGTGGGTGAGGCAATGGTAGAGGCAGTGGTAGAAGCAGTGGTT